GTGTGGATAAATACAGCACTGTGTATGTGAGTACAGTCAAGCTAGAAGTTCACTGAATGTGTGGTGATATGTTAGTCTCTTCAAATGCCTTAACTGTTCCTCTTCTCTCACAGATGGGTTTGGATTTGCTGAATTTCATACCGAATAATACAACTTTTTCTGGGAGATGTGACAATACGTCTGCCTTCCTGAATCTGACTTTTGAGAAAACAAGGGTTATCTTCCACTTTGCGTTGGTAAGAATCTCTAGACAGCATGTATAGGGCCTGCAGGACTTTTCATGTGGGGAAAACTAATCGGGACAACTACAAGAGAAAAAAAGATGCAATGACAGGGAGGGGAATAAATTCTTTATTTTTTTAATACTAGGATTTAGAGGTTTTAATATTTGGTAACCATTAGGAGGAAATAATATGTACGTGTATGCACACACATGTATGTATACACAGAAATGTATTTTGTTTGGAATGGGGATTTCTTTTAAGATTATATTGCCAACTCTCTAAAGCTTCTTGCCCAAACTGTGAACAGCTTATGACAAGTAGTATTTCATCTAATTGTACAAGTCCAGAACTGGATTTAAATCCTCATCAATACTCTGTGTCCAGCCCAAGGACCATGTGTGCTTGTTTTATGGTCTTCTATGATGGTTGAGAATGCTGTTTCCCACAGTCCTGTCCCAGTGCTGTATTAGAGCTGTGGACCCTTGAGGACCAAATCCACTGTGTTAGAGCTTCATGCTCCTTCTAATACTTGTGAGATTGATTAAATGTGACCACCTTGACCTGTTGCTATTAAATGACTCCCCACATCTCTGTGGGGTACCAAGCTGCTTTAAAGCTGTATCTGTAGCACAGGTGAGATCATTGCAGCAGCCTGGTTAAGGCATGAGGGGGCTGTGCCTGTAGTGTGGAAGTCAAGTCAGCAGTCAGAGGGGTGACAGTCCCTCCCCTAAAGTAGCTTTCCCAAAGGTGCATATCTTCTGTAGCTGTTCTCTCCTAGAGTGCACCTAAGCTCTTCCTTTGGATGCTAATCCAAATTGTGGATCATCCTTTGAAAACCTTTCTCAAAATGCATGCAGAATTGAACCCAAATGTTAACAGCTTACGTTGTACATCAGTAACTTAAATGACAACTACTGGTTTCTTTTTGGTTTTTTAAAGAATGCAAGTACTGAAAAATTCTTCCTGCAAGGTTTGAATGTAAGCACGACTCTGCCTTCTGAAGCAAAAGGTAAGGACTTTTATTAAGTCTGCTTTCAGTCACTACTTGTATAAATATTCAAGGTTGCCTCCATTAAATAACATGTTAGAAATGTTGGGAATGAATGTATCAAGCTCTATGAGCTTACAGCTCCTGCTCTTCAGGATTTTGTAATAAGACTTTCTCTTACACAGTTCCAAAGTTCGAAGCATCGAACAACAGCATGAGTGACCTGAGAGCTACAGTAGGGAACTCCTACAAGTGCAGTGCAGAGGAGAACCTCCAGGTCACAAACGACACCCTTGTCAATGTATTTAATGTTCAGATTCAGGTTTTCAAGATTGATGGAGACAAATTTGGGGCAGGTAAGAGGTTTACATTTTGCAGGGGGAACCAAAGATTTGTGAAGTACACTTTGATGTTAACATAATATTCTGTAGTCAAATGTCAGCTTGTGGGTGCTACGCTTAGTCTCTGCATTCCCAACTGCAGATGATATGGGGGCTGATACCTGAGTTGAGGCTAGTGCAAGAAGTATGTAAAAAGCTTTGAAATAACTAGGACTTGTTCCTTGTGGTCCAGAGAAGAGTTAAGGAAGAATGTTAACTTTCTGTCCTAACTGTGCATGGACAGTTGTATGAAAGGGGCAGAGTTCTGGGAAGTTCCTGACTCTCTTAGTGAACCCTGTCCTCTGGGACTGGTTAAAGCAAAAGAGCTAGGGGGGGGACTTGCATGGATATATCTGGCTAAGCCTGTGTGCAACAGTAACAGCTCTTGATAAGGCAGCAATGATTATAAATCTTCATATTGTACATACAACTAGTACTAGAAAGACCTCATCCTGACTTGGCTTCCTTTTGGTTGTTGGCAAGCTAAGCTAGAAGTTAACTTGAGCCAGTTTTATCTATGTGCTGAGTGCAGAAGCTTGAAGTTCTGGCTATAGCCATCTGTTGCTGCATGGGTTCCTAACATGGATTTTTTTTCTCTCTCTCCAGTGGAAGAGTGTCAACTGGATGAAAATAACATGCTGATTCCTATAATAGTTGGTGCAGCCCTTGCTGGTCTTGTTCTCATTGTCTTGATTGCTTACTTGATTGGCAGAAAGAGGAGCCATGCTGGATATCAAACAATTTAATGACTTGCACTAAAATTCAGTGTAGATGAAAAGCAATTGCAAGAGGCTGGGGAAAAAAAAACACCCCACACATTTCCCCTGAGCTGAGATTGATATTGTAAGGGAACACCTTTTCTTGCAAATTGCATCTTCTTTAAAGTCTGCTTTATTAAATGTGAAATCATCTTGCAGCATTTAACTATGCACAAAAATAACTTCTGAAAATTCTGGTGTTTAATTTTGCTAACTAGTTAAAATATTTACCCACTTAGAAACAAGCGAAAAGTTTTTAAGGGTGCTTTTTGGGAATTGGCATAAGGTCATGTCAGCTAAAGATTCCAGAGAGGGATGTTGCTAATTCACACTGACTCGATTTCAGAATTCTTAACAAAGGGAAAAAGTTCTTTGTACTGCTGCCATCCAGTGATGATGTTAATTATACTGATGATGCATTTAAAGTTTAGTAACAACTGACAAAATTGAAACTTAAAATCTAAACTCCACCTTGTCTCTTAGGTGTGTATTTTTTACTTAGCTTTAAACTCAATGCCTGGCACATGCAGGGTGTGAACAACGCAATACTCCAACCTTACAGGAACTCTTTAATGATTGGACAACTCCCTTGTTTGATATTTTTGATGCTACACCAGCTTGTTAGGAGCTGGTACTTTTTTAAAATGGGTGTTATTTTTATTTACTTTTTTTGTAAAGTGATTTCAGTCTATTCTGTTGGAAGGTCCAGAGAGATCCTGTTACTGCACATGTGTACAATATAGATCTCAATCTGCTGATTCTCTTGCTTTAAACTTGGCTGGGGGTTGTACACTTTAAGGATCAGTTCTTATGTATGCATTGCCTGTAACAATGCTAATAAAGACACTTTTTTTCTGTATATCTTAGTGTTTCTGATCACTGAAACATGTTTGACTGTTTGCTAAGTGCTAAGGTTGTGGTTTGACTCTACTTGGGAAGCTTTAAACAATCCTTAGTATGGAGTTGTGTTAAATAAGTGTTTTTTCTCTGGCATGAAGGTGAGGCTTAACTGTGCATCTTCAAAACAGTTCCTTGTTTTGGACTTTGTGCTTGGAAACAGGTAAAGCTTCTGTGTATCAGTAACCTGAGATTTGAAGAAGTTAACTCTTCCATTAAACTGCCACTCATTGAGAAATGTCAGTATATTGATCTGCCCTGCTAAGTATCACTTGCTTGGTATAAGGACTGTGTAAATGACATCTTATGTTTTAAAGTTGGATTCTTACCACAGAGTAGGAAATGCATGACTGCTGAGCACTATGTGTGTTGTAATGTGCTGGAAATGAACCTTTTTGTTTAAAACTTCCCTGACCCCCTCCTGCAGTAATGTTGAGATATTAACAGTGCCAACTATGCAGGGCAGGAACCAAGACACAGAACACTGTGCTGCTGACAAGGAGAACTGGCTGGCCAAAGATACTTTGAACCTCAGAGCTATCTAGAAACTGTGGATTTTGGCAGTGGTGAATAAACTAGTATGTCCTGATACCTGCTGATGATGTACTAGAAGTAGGGCACTGCTACTGTCTTTATAATTTGGTACTCAAGAAAAAAGGTGTCTACCTGGTACTGTAAAGACAGGATAGCTTGGTATCATACTGCTGAGTAACTGTCTACTTGTCTAGAAGAGCACTTGCTCATCTACTTCCTCTGAAAAGTTGGGTTTTTTTTCCCTGCTGAGGAATAAAAGAAACTCAGTCTGCAGGGGGGAGATAAAAAAAAAAAAAAGCCTTGCTTGACAAGGAATGAAGATAGCTTGGAGTAGAGTCTGAAAAGGAGCGTGGTGTTAAAAGGCGAGGCTTTAAACGGGAAGAATGAAAAGCACAAATGGCTGGTCTCTCTTCAGTTGTCTGCCCTCCCTTCCCAGCAGGAAGACGCGGGGACGATTTGGCCACGAGAGGGCTCTGTAAGGACAAGAAAGCAAGTCTCAGGCCCCTGGCCCCAGCAGGCTCGAAGGCTGCTGCTGTGGTTTTATTCTGCCTAGGTGTATAAGATGGATAGACTTGCATTAAGGTACAGCCTTGGAAGTGCCTGATGCCTCACCCTGTCATGAAGGATGTCTGTTGTTTGTGGCTGTCTTTCTTTACAAGTGTTTTTCCCCACATTTTTAGAGATACAGGTATATGAGGATATAGCACCTGTAGTGCCACCTCAGTATACCAGCACAAAGTACAGTATCTACTTTCAGTATTCCTTACAACAAAGAGAAATGAGTGAGTCAAATTACATGTTACCTACTCTGGTAGAACTAGAAAAATATGAATAAACATATAAATATTAAGAGTGGTTATAGAGGAACTTCTGCTACTGCTTTCTGGAGCCTGGACTTGCACATATTCCCTGCTGCTTTTACCTGAAGAGTCATTATACACTGCATAGAGTAACTGCTATTGAAGATAAAGATCACCTTCTTCATGGCTGCCTTGTCCTGCACTTTACCATATTTGAGTTCCTTAAGTGATAACAGCAAGGAAGAAGGAAGATGCTTATATTCTAGCCAACTATTGACAGTCAGGGAAGAGATCAGATAGATATTCTCTTCACACCAAGAAACAGATTCTGACAAATTAAATTAATTTATTTTGTACAAATGATAGTGGTATCACAGTTAATACAGTAAGAAGGATATATCATTTTATACACCTGGGGGTTTAACATAACAAAATGCCCTGAAAAGACAAGGATTGTGACTTTTTTTTTAAAAGGAGGGTCCTGACACTGATCACATTCTACTCTGAAAACACTTTAATCCTTTAAAAAAACCCCAAACCCACGAGAACAGAACCACCCATTCCAGTTATCAAGTCTAACATACAGTACAAAATGTTAACAACACTTACTTGAAAGGCAGGAAAAATTGGTCAAGTGTCAGTTAACTCATGGAAAGCTTAAAGTGTGCTTTAGTCAGTGCAAATAGAGGAATGTGTCATTGCTGTAGTATCTGACCACCTGGTTAAGTCTGCTGAGTTATCCCTGAGAAAGCACCTTTTCTCTGCAAGTCTCTCGGAGTTTGTTGATTGTTGCCATAGACAAGCTTCCAGGGTCTGTGAATATTTTCTGTGGGCAAAAGGAGAAAATTCTTAGTTAAAGTATTGGCTTTGGAAAACATGCTGGAATCTCACATAATTATCTGAAGTGTGAAATCCCTGTGTTGATATCCACACTGTGACCAGTGCTTACTGCTGTTTGGCTTCCTTGTGATGGGGTAGCATCTTCATCTACTCTGCTGTAAAGACATGGTAAACCTGTAGCTGGTAACAAGTGCTGTAAGTTACACAAAAGCAACAATACAAAAGCTAGTTTGAATATAAGTGTCCACTTAAAATGATTTTAGATGGCATTTGTGTTGGGGTGGTTGACATATTTAGAACATTTTAAGCCATCCTAGGTACTGCTGCAAAGCACAAGTGCATTTCTCATGTGGTGCCAGCACAGGGTGTTCAGGCTCTAGAACACACACATGCAGAAAGGGGTATGTTCCTACTGAAAAAAAAAAAAAAAAAAAAAAATCAATCCCTTGCTATGCCACCTTAGATCTTCTTTCCAAGGCTTTCCAGGGTAGTAATGTATATGGATGTAAGAAGTTGAGCTACTTCAAAAGCCTTCACATATCTGGTTGGTTGGTTTGTTTGTGGTTGTTTGTTGTTTTTTTTTTTTTCTGAGTTGTTGCTTAAGAACAATATATTTATTTCTACTACTTCATCTAAAACTATAGAGCAAGCTGCAAGTTTATGCACTCCAACAGGTAAGATTTGTGGGCCCCTCAGCTCTCTAGTTGTAACTGACAACTCTCGAGACAAGATTATAAATGAGCCAGTTCTGAACAGCATTCTAGTAAAGAAGCCTGCACTGCATTAAGCTAAAAACTAAGGTTTTGTTCAGGCAGAGGGCAACATAAAATACTCAACAGTCATCCCCTCTACTGATGCTAGTATCTGTACTGATGAAAAAAAAACAACCCCAAACATCCAAACTCCAAAGTCTTTCAAAGTTATGTAAGAACCTAACCTAAACTTTTATTTAATTGCCTTCAAAGCCCCCTCACTACAGTAGCCAATACATTTAAAATAAACTGCAAGAGAAAGGTAGTTGATTTTCTAAAAACAGCTGCTATAAAATATAATTAAAGGAGGAGGGGGGAAGTCCTTCAAGGACAAGTGTTTGTATCTCATGCCAATTAACATTTAATGAAACTCTTATTCAAAACCCTTTATGGAATAGGAAAAACCCCTCAAACATCTCCCTTCTAAACTAAAGCTCCACCTGCAATTTATGTTACTTTAAAGACTCAAACACTAGTAATAAGCTTATTTTTCTTCTGTATGAGCAAAAATGAATTGTAACATGAATGACATCCTACTATGACAGACCTATGCACAGAGCTCCGACATGAGCATGAAACTCTTTTTGGGGTAAGAGTCACCTGCTGGGATGGAGTTTCGTGCACGCTAGGCAAACAGTGGTAGTGGAGGTGGCCAAGTGTTTTATGACAGATGTGCTCCTGATACATTTTTGGAGCTAACATCTTTTACATTTCCATCTTCTGAGTTAAGATCTAAATCTAATGTTCTATACAGATTTGGCATCCAATCTATTAATAATTTACAAGAAAAATTCTTATTTTGGAAATAAGAAGTTGGTGCTACCTTTTTGTTATAAACAGAACAAAATATTCTGATACTATAAAGATTTATCAATGCAAGTTTAAAGCTCACTTTGTGTCTACAACACTCCATTATGGTTCATAATCCATAGTTCACTGAAAGAATGCACTAAAGTTATTTTTGTAGTCAGATTTCCTGCCTTCTGGTAAAAAGGGCAAAAAGCCTTTTTTTTTCCCCTGTACAACAGATACTGTGAATGGATTGCTATATATAGATTTAGATAATAATTCTTTTTTAAAAATTCTTAGAAAGGTTGGAGTTTCTTATGTAAAAACATTCTTCATCCCTTTGGCAATTCCCACAGTATATTTCTCCTAACTGTATCCATCTGTTCCTACTGAGCAAAACATTTTAAAGTCAGTCTTGTTTTTACTTTCTAACACCTAAAAGCTGCAGAGATTTTACCTGCATGAAGCTGTGACACTCTGTTACAAATGTTCCTTTGGTGATCTGCTTAAATTTGTCACAAATGTCAGGGAAATTTGTGGCTTCCAAAATAAAAGCTTGGTGTTGCTTAATTAATGTTAAGGCCACACGGAAGATGATCTTTGACCCTTCATAGAATAAACAATCCCATATTCGGAGCACAGTCTGTAGAAAAGGAGAGAATTCAGATTATAGCTTCTTGATTTCCAGTAGGTAATTACTTACTAAAGCAGTACCAATGAAACAACAATTGCAAGTGTATATGAAGAGAATTTTATGTTACCAATTACCTCTACTGGAAGAATGTCAATGAACAAGCATATAAACCAGCGTGACACTACTAGGGTCCACATTACTCCATGTCTTTCCATCAGCTCTGCCACAGCTGGAACTTTCATTTTCACAAGTTCTCCAAGGACTTCCTGATCAGTTTTCAGGCCCAACATTGCAGGGCTGTAATAATCTTGGAGAGAAGAAACCAAAATTCAGGAATCTGTGGACATGATCTTTCCACGACAAAGAGAATGTCCTGTGCAGCTGAGTATATAAAGGCATGTTGAGTCTGTGAATCCCAAGCTGATGTAAATTAAACCATGAAACAAAGATGTCTGCACTGTGGTCATTCAGACCTTCTCTTTCAGCCAAGGCTGATCCCCCTACACAAACACTCCATTCATGCCTACCAAAGTATCTGCTTTCTCTCTGATGTTTTTTGGCAATTCATTCTTCCTTCCCAAGGAATATAATCTAGGTAGTATTTAACTGCTGGCTAAACTACAGAAGTCTTACTAATATTTAAACAATATAACCACCACCTCCTTCCCATGTGTGGGGGCTGCACACCTCCAGTCCACACAGTACTCAGACAGGTAACAAAAAAACAAACAAACAAAAAAAACACACCAAAAAACTTGTAGCCTTTAGACTGGGTCCAGTCAGGAACTGGAAATACAAACTTCTGAGTGCCAGCTGTGCAGGGGTGCTGTACCACTTCTCCTAGGGTGTGACCTAGCCCTTAAGAGTTTTCTCTTTTTCCCTCTGACCAAGGAATCCACTTTTCATAGAATAATTCCAAAAGGAAGTAAATAACAGACCCCTCAAGGCAACATTTCCTACTTTATTTACCAGCAAGATGGGGGTTAAAATTAGATCTACATCTCCCACACTGCTGGTCATTGCAATCCTTGATGGTTCACTTGTGCTTTGCTGACAAGACATATGTAATTATTTAGTAAAAGAAGTAACTGGTAACACAAGCACCCTCGTATGCGTTTCTTTACTTCACTGATTCTGGAAAGTTGCAATTCAGGTTTCTATAATTTAACTGGTTTCTGCCAAGGTTCCCAGACACACACAACATAGACCAATGGTTCATAGGAAGGTGAAGGAATCAGAAAAACCAAAGTCTGTTTGTCTGAAATTTTTTTAATAAAACTTCTCAGTGCCACAAATTTAAGATGTCCAAATCACACAATAAGTTTATAAACACTTTAATTTCTCTAATGAAATCACAAGAGCAGTTTAATATTCCACTCTTCTGTGTCAAAGGTTTTCTTGACCAGTCTTCCCACTTCAGGAACTATTTGCTCTACATTTGTCCTGTCCAAACTGCAAAACATCTGCAGGAGTTTTTATGATACCAAGGAGCACTGCATTCAAGTTTTAGGAATCAGGCTTTTTGTCCGTGATCCTTATTTTATTTGCTCCCATTGAAGAATGATAGGTACAACTCTACAGACAGAAGAGGCACTGCCACTATATACACTCCTTTAACCATTTGCCTTTCACTTGCTTGGAGGCAAAGCTCTGAGAGCTAAAGCACAAGTAATCCCATGAAAAAGTGTACTAAAACCAGTCACACCATGACCCCAAAGCCAACACAAAAACCTCTTTCTGCATATTTGGTGTTAGTGTTGTGTTCATTTGTGAGCTGGAATGCAGGTAAAAGTAACATTAACTGGCTGAGCCTTTTTTTAAATGCTGCTTTAAGAATAAAGACTCACATTTCAAAAAACAAGCCTTCTCTCACACATCTACAACCCCATTTTTTTTTTTCTTTTTTGTGCTCCTGAGACATCTGAACACTTAAAAGTTCTTCAAGTTACCACTGGCAAGTGTCCTCAGGAGGAAGGACAGCAGCCCACAAGCTCTCTCCTCTGCTGCAATCATCCGATACGCTGAAATCAACAGCAGCTGCTATTTTTAATTTGTTCAGCAAAGTAAATGTCAGGATCTAAGTGAGAACACAACCGGACACTCACCCAGCTTTTTGAAAGCTGGCAAGTAAAAAGTTAACAGCCAGGCAACTTGGAATACTTTACTCCTTGAATTACTGAAGCAGCTAGCAGCAGAAAACCTTGACATAAATGAAAATTTAGTTCAAGTTTGTTACATTGTACTGCTGGACAGAAAGGAAAAAGGCACTATTCATCTATCTGGGGCAGCCTCCTGCCACTCCTTGCTGAGCAGAAGCGGCTCCCATGTGCCCTGGTACACAGCAGTGCAACCTTCAGCCCAGCACTGCCACAAAACAAACAGGGGGAGGGATTAACGATTTTATGCAAATGCCAATAACTGAGTAGCACGTTTTTTCCAAGATATTAGCTGTCAGTTCACAACAGAAAGAAGTTACATTAAAAGAATCTGCATCTATATGTAATTATTACACATTAATTATAGTTATGGGGGTATTATAATTATCACACATAATTAATATGTAGTTATAAATTTTAATATATATACTATTATACAGAAATGTACATATATAAAATTAGCTACTCAGATTAAGAAAGCTGCATTTCCAATCATCCAGAAACATTCCTGCAGCATCTCATATTTGTGCAAAACTTACAGATCTTTTACAAGGAACATAAGGGCATTGCATCAGCCCAGAGGATAGTAGAGACCCAACTGTAGGGCTCTAACATCGATCTTCTGAGGGCAGTGTTACCCCGGAGGTGAGCCAGGCCTCCACCCTGGAGCATGCACTCTGCCACACACCAAGTCATCAGGGCTACCACAGGGGTAGCCAGAACTACACAGGTGAGTCAGAAAATGTTCCAGCATCATGCTTGAGCCACCTTTCATGGTCCACAGCTGGTCTCACTAGTGGAAATTATTTTGTAACTTGTGTTGGTGCCTAAGTGCATGGGAACATTTAACCTATACAGCTCTTCTATTCTGTTCTTATTTACTAAGGATGCCCTGTCCCTAGACCTTCTGGAAATGTCCCCACAGCAAAAATCACAGAATCATCTAGGTTGGAAAGGACCTTGAAGATCATCCAGTCCAACCATTAACCTCACACTGACAATTCCCAACTACAGCATATCCCTAAGTGCTATGTCGACACAACTCTTAAATACCTCCAGGGATGGGGACTCCATCACCGCCCTGGGCAGCCCATTCCAACACTTCACAACCCATTCTGTAAAGAAATGCTTCCTAGTGTCTGGTCTAAACAGTCTCTGGTGCAAACTGAGGCCATTCCCTCCATTACCTCCTGTCCTGTTACTTATTACTTGGTTAAAGAGGCTCATCCCCAGCTCTCTGCAACCTCCTTTCAGGCAGCTGTAGAAGGTGATAATGTCTCCCCTCAGCCTCCTCTTCTCCAGACTAAACACCCCCAGTTCCCTCAGCCGCTCCCCGTACGACCTGTGCTCCAGACCCTGCACCAGTTTCATTGCCCTTCTCTGGACACGCTCGAGTCATTCAATGTCCTTTTTGTAGTGAGGGGCCCAAAACTGAACACAGGAATCGAGGGGCGGCCTCACCAGTGCCGAGTACAGGGGTCAGATCCCTTCCCTGTCCCTGCTGGCCACGCTATTGCTGACACAAGCCAGGATGCCATTGGCCTTCTTGGCCCCCTGGGCACACTGCTGGCTCCTGTTCAGCCGGCTGTCAATCAACCCCCCCAGGTCCCTCTCTGACTGGCAGCTCTCCAGCCACTCCTCCCCAAGCCTGTAGTGCTGCTGGGGGTTGTTGTGGCCCAAGGGCAGCCCCTGGCATTTGGCCTCATTGAAACTCCTCCAGTTGGCCTCAGCCCATGGCTCCAGCCTGTCCAGGTCTCTCTGCAGAGCCTCCCTGCCCTTGAGCAGATCAACACTCCCATCCAACTTGGTGTCATCTGCAAACTTGCTGCTAAATCCTTCAGCTCTCTCTTGCTGCAAACATTTCAGTGTTCCCTATTTTCTTCATCTTTTATAATTGGCTGCTCTGCCCAAAATCTCTCCCTAAAGTCAAGATATCCTTGTTTATAAACAAGTCTCCACAAGCCTAACCCCTCACCACAAAGCTGTTTTTCACAAGATACTGTGCAAATTAATTTTACTCACCTACTATCAAAATACAGTAGCTTTATATTCCTTCTTTATCTTATCTTACACATTATTTGTAATTTCTAGATTTTTTTACCATCCACGTTTAATTGGTGTATTATTTTTACCTCTCAATAATCTAGCAAAATACTGAGCAGTTGATCCAGAACAGACCCAAGTCAGTAACTGCTGTCAATCTGCCACTTACCAATTTAAGATATATACATAGGCTAATTATATTATGTATCTATTGATCCAGGTAGGAATGTCCTCTATGTATCATCCTCCTGAAAAAAACACATAGCTTCCTTTTATTCTTCAATCAAACGGAAGTGAGAGCATTAACATTTAGGTGATTGTGCACTACATTACTTTTCATCGTATCTTCTTCTGGAAGGCAAATGAAATATTGTATTATAAATTATTACGGTCTTCTATTAAATTAACTTCCAGAAAAATCTCTAGATGAAAATTATGGAGTTTCCTATTGGAAAACCTGTCTCCAAGCTCTTTTGTAAACTGGTCCTAGGGTTTCCTTACTTTCCTCTTGGCTTTCCTTTGCCTGTTGCTTTCCCATGTGTACCTGCTTTGCTTAGTCTTGTCATTCCTGGTGCCTGCCTGTGAATTTGCTAAGTTTAACAGTGCCCAAGAATGTAGCAAAGGTCAATGCAAGCAGCACCTCACATAGAATTCACCTCACCAAGTGCCCCTTCCTCAGAGTTCTGACCTCAAAGAGCATCTCTGCCGGGATCATCAGCTTCTCTTCCTCTTGGAGTCAAGCAGCAAAAAGGAAAAGCCAGCTTCACCAACTGCCAGGTATTTTATTGCTACTGTACAAGTCAGGTGACTAGATGAAGGGACTTTTTCCTTGTTTAAAGGGCTTTTTGTAACTAACACTGAACTGACTGGCATGCTGTCACTGAGCTTGAAACTCTGTTCTGGCTCAGCATCTGGCAAAGAGCTATTCCTTAGGGAGACAGTGAAATGTAGCTTGTCACAATAATTAGTACCTCTCTGAATCCTACCAGGATGTCCAGGACTAAGCTTGTGCTCTAGAGCAGTAATGAGATTTGCAGGAAATAAGGATAAAGCTTGTAGGGACTGTATGACCTTGTTCTCCGTTACAAATAGATTAAGAGGTTCCAAAAATAAAAGTTTAAGAAGCAGTTCTCTTATAGCCTTGAATTACCTCTACAAGTCAGAGCTGCAGAAGTTAAAAAAGAATCCTTTAACTCTTTTGTGCATATGTCAGGTTAAATATAAACGCTCCTACTGGAACTAACATGATATGCATTCTTACTGTTATAGAAATACTCAAGAAGACCTCAGCTCTGCTGCTTATCTTCCAGCATTTCTAACTGTTATTTCAAGAGCATATATAACCCAGCCTGGGACAAACCCAGTGATTTGTCTTGGCAATCCAATTTAACCAAACAAAAATTAAAAATCAGCTGGTTTAACTTTTCTTACAGTCATGAGCAATGGAAAGTATTTTCTTCACAAGAATATAACGTCCATGAGAGCCATGGCAGGGGAAGGGGATTAATGTTCTCTCTCCCCCCAAAAACAAGCAAAAATGGTTCATTTTTATGCCAACATGCAGCATTCAAAAATGTCTCCTTGCTGTAGATTCACATTACCATTTGCTACCAGACTTCACTGGAATCTAGAAGGGACAAACAGAGCAGGCCTCAACGCTGGCAGGCAAAAGCAGATGTTGCCATGAACAGATTGGCCAGCTTAATGAAAAAACACTCAAGTTCTACATTTCAAGTCAGAACAGAAACAGATTCTACCACGTGTCTTTGTGGGAAAAAAAGTCCTATAAAAAAATCCTTCATTATAAAACTTAACTGTTTGCATGTTACTGAACAGAGGGATTATTTTAAATAACCTTGGCAGCACAAAACTTTTCTTTCCAAAAAGATACACTATCATAGCTGAGTTTATAAACATCATGCAACACATATGGAATGAGTTTCATCACTTCAGCTACAGAGGTCAAACTAGATTACAATAGCAGTCCCTTCTCACCTGCAGAGCATCTAAATACCATTTATGCTATTCCTACACAATTTATTGACTCACTCATTCTCTTTGCTGGTGACTGTAAGCCTGCTTTGTCCATGAAGGCAGGGCTATTGTATTTCTACTATGGGATAGTCCAAGAAGGTGCAACAGATCCTGTAAAAATCTACATCATAAGCCTGGCATAAAAAGTTGGACAACCTTTGGGAGGAAATCAGAAAGTCACAACAGGAAGAGGAGGAAAACCAAGAGTACTGCAAATTCTTTTTGCAATAATCAGGCCAAAGTGGCCCCCTGCAGATGTCCTGCCCAAAGCAATATCCTGCAGATACGTGGTTAAGCAGCAATCTGAACTCCTAATTATGTTATTTGTAAGACACAAATTCATAATCTTCCACAGAACTGAGAAGAAATCCAACAAACAAACAAAACAACCAAAAACAGGCTCAAGCTGTATTTTTTTTCCTTCATTGAACCAAACCAAACCAGAATTTCCATCCTGAGGTAGTAAACTCACACCTGAACCAGCAGTAGCTGTATCATTCACAATTAAATATTAGCTTTAAAAAAAACCCCAACCCATAAGCAAGCCCAATTCATTTTGCATGGCAGAGCTACCTTGAATGCAAGCATTTTATGGATGCTTATTGGTTGTGATACTGAGATTACACAAAATTTAGAACAACATTATTCTGAGAAATTATTTACTATTAACGCCTTTTCATCAAGCACAAAAAGGCAATGTTTGATTGTTTCTACTTAATTCCATCTGCCTGTCTTCATCTTTTGCTTCTGATCCCAAACTTGGAAACATAGATCCTGTGGAGCAGAAAGAGCCCTTTGGTTTCCTATTTGCATTTCACACAGCACAGTGGGATTGTGAGCAGATGTAGTAGCCACCATTTGAAAAGTGAAGAAGGATCCTTGTTAATTATAAAGACAATGGAGAGAAAGGCAAAGATGATATCCTTCCAGATTTTACAGAAGGCAGAGATGAAATATATTAAATACTCCGTGGGTAACCTCTCAGAGAAAACAAATTGAAATTCGCAGCGTGTTAGAAAGCACAAATGCAACTTTCAGACATTCTAGAGAATGAAACTGGCTAGGGTTTTTATTATTTTTTGGTTTAAACACTAACTGTTATGTGCTGCTCAGTAGAGATATATACGTCATTAAAAACTAGTCTAGATTAAAGTTAAAGCTACCAAAGCACTCTTGTACAGATAAGATATAACTCTGAGCAAAATGCTGTTGGCCTATTCTCCTTTCTTCTCTATCCCCTGTCTTTGTATCCACTACCACTGGAATTGCTCCTTTTGTGGATAGTGGTTTATTCCATAGTATCAGGGAGGTGATAGATACCAACGGATACAGGTTATTCAAATGGCCTGGTCCGACTCCAGTCATTGCACTCTATGAATTCTGACAGTCCAAAGAATTGCAGAAAAAGCCTTTGGAGAAGGCTGCAGTTTACTGGGTTGATGATGGTCCCAGGAGCCAAGGCTTTTAATTCACAAACTCACTTTGACAGAGTTTTAACACCAATTTCCTTAAATGAAAAGGAAAATCATGAAAAAGCACTGAAGATTACCACAACTACTTATCATGCCTGCAGAGGAAACAAACTTTTTAAATTTTTTTGTAAAAATAAGTTTATAATTGTACAGTGAGTCTTAATGGCTGATGACTTCAGTTGAATAAGAATTCCTGGATCTGTGGCTTTTTTAATTCCTCTATGTGATTAGGAAGAATGGCAATTTTATCAGTTCACCACACTGACAAGATTATTCTTAACATTTCAGCACAAAACACAGCATTATCTTGCACTTGAGAATCAGCTCTTTACAAGAACACTACAGATTGAGCACCTTACTTAAATGGCTGGGACAGAAGCAAGAGGCTTAAAATACAGAGCTGGACAGACACATACAGTTATAGCCTGATACTTAGAGAGGGAAACCAATCCAACACTTGAGTCTGAAGAGAATGAAAGCCACAAATCCTCTTATTTCAAGCTGGAAGAAGCTAACAAGAGAATTAACTTTAATCCTGAAGCAACAGGTTTTAAAACTACAAGAAGAACAAATGAGACTTTTTCACTAGCTATAAATTGAAACCTTATTAAAGCATTCAAGTATTTTGAACATAACACACATGTATCAACCAAGGTTGTACTTCCAAGCATCTCTCTGAAACCGAACAGTCACTTCTCGTACATTTAGGTAGACAAAAGTTACCACTGTGCTCTGCACATTATTTTCTTCATGTGATTTCCTTTACTCCCAAAGCACATCTCCCTTCACAAACACATTCTTTATGTAGCCACCTATGCTACATATACATTAGATATTGTTTCAAAATATAGTATGTCTGATGTCAGTGCTTCTTTATAATATTCCATATTAAAAAACCCCAAACTTGACAATATGGTTGAACAACTCAAAATAACAATTTTGCAGTATCTTAAGTTGTAAATACAACAAATCCAGAGTAAGCACATCTTAGCTCAGGAAAAGCCAAAGTAATCCTTGGATATTTCCACTACTGAAGGAGAGAGAGTATGTCATCTCTATATATGACATCAGCAAACCTGAGGTTAGAAAACTGCATCCACCTCTGATACTCACATTTAAGGCAGGAAGCTGAAGAACAGGAAAGGATGTGAAAGAAAGGGTTACAAATACTACTTACAAAAATTGAGCTCTGTAAGGAACTTCTTTATTTGTAGAATTTATGCAAGGAAAATTAAAAGCAAACTTGACCACTTCACTGAGAAAGCACCCTAGGTATCATGGGCTTTTCAATATAGTAAAAGAAAGTCTTAAAAAAGAAGCAATTGCTACAAGTTAAGACAAGATAAATTCCAATAAAGTATATCAAACATTTTAAATAGAGTGATTTATAGTTTGAATATACTACTAGGAGTGCCAGTAGGGTTTTTCTTTCAGACCAAGTTTGGGACTTTTCACAAAGACAAGCTCTAGCCAAACAAGTCTGCTGCAGAGGGAATGGGAGGAAATACTATTGTTTCCTCAGCTGGCTTCTTGTACAACAAATCCAGTTACATTTCCAGTTTCATAAGTCTTGGCATTTAACACATGGATTACTTCAAGCATATGAATACATCTTATGGGGATTTACAAGTTAAAATACAAACCTGTATATTAGGATCTACATTGAGTGCCCCTAACAGCATTATACGTTTGTCAGCAATTATATTATGCTTCCTGCTGAAGTGACATATTCGTGAAGGCTGCATTATTAAAATTTTATTGAATGTACAGAGCCCTGGCTGACCATTAGAAGGTCAAAAAAGTGCTATGAAGAACAAAATATGCTACTCTAGCTTAGTGTCTCTGACACTTTAATTATACAGTTAAAATAGCACAATCCTTTCAACATGGAGACAGCTCTGTCAAAAGTATAGTTTCAATACCACATGCACATTAGTGCTTTCACAACTGGAGCCATTACCTAAAACTAAAAAAACCCATCCCTACAACATGGCTATTCCAGTAAAACATAAAGCACAAAGTAAGCCAGCCTTATGCTGCATGCTAAGACTTGGCCACTGTTTTTTGCTGGTTTGTTTTTTTTGTTTTGGGTTTGGGTTTTGTTTGGTTTTGGTTTTATGGTGTAAAAAGAGGGGTGTGGGGGGGTGTCTCCTCTTGCAAACGCATACTTCTATGTTTCCACCACTCTACCTACCCTACTCCTTTGTACCCAGCCAGGGAATTCTACTTTTGGTCAGTCCTAACTGAATTAAATTTTCATTTGAAAAGTTTATTTTGCTGGTGGCTTTTGAAATGGATGAAACTTTGATTTACTGGGGAGATAAACAGGCAAATATCATTGCTTGCACAGATAGCCAGAGGCTGCAGTCCTGTCCAGAGTAGTGCCACAGGAGGCTTCTGAAGATCTCAAGTTCCACATAATGGAATTATATTAATACAAGTCTTGTCTGCCAGAGGGAAAGAGGCATACTTGACTTTGAGTGGAAGAAGTCATTTAGGTCCTGATTCTAATGTAAATACAGCCATATCAAGAAACACAATATTGTTTAGCATTTTAAAATGCTACAGGTCTCTTTGCTGCATACCTGAAACTTAGCATGTTTCCTCACAATTGTAAGGATAACAACATGTATATTCTTGTCATGTACAGGAAACTTCTGTTTTAGACAAAACTAAGATTTCTACCCAAATACCTAAAGCACACCTAAATATTGTTCTTTTATTGATGAGGCTTGTGATTGAGGGTGGGGTACAATACATACAGGAAATAAATTATTCCAAAAGTCTAAATATATGTATAATTTTAAAGAAGAAATACATCAGTTACTTCCTGCTTGCTCAAGTTTCCCAAATCCCCTAGCAGTTCAGATTTATAAGTAATAAGCATTTCAGGCTTATCATGGTTTCTAAATGCAGACACATGATGACTCCTACATTCCACCTTCACCTTAACAGGACACTGCACACTTAATTCCTAGGTAAATACAACCAACCTCTAATGTTCAAAGATTAATGCTTTCACCATGGCTGCTAGTTAACAGTAAAGCATGTTGGGGTCCCATATTTCAAAACTCCTAATTATTCAGCCTATCAGCCAAGCATTCCTCTTTCCTAGTAGTAGATGCGATGTCAGAGGCTACGGCTTCACATGCCATCACAGAGGAACTCTCTGCCAGCTCATGGCCCTGTAGCTGGGTGCTACCAGAAGAGGAAGCTAATGAAACAGCCCAGAACTGATCAACCTGCTGAAATATGAGCTGATGGTGCTATAAAAAAAAAAAGCTTGGTTATCAAAAACTATTTTGCAAACAAAGTCATGCATATTATGCCTAGCCTTACAAGGAGCTTTCCACCCCAAAGAAACATGGCTGTGGTGCTCGAGCATTCTCTGTGAAAAGACATGCTTTTCATCAGAAGTCTCCTTCACAGGCTGCAAATTCAACTCCACATTACTACTATTCAGGTCTAGCACTATCTTTTAGCTACACAGACGAATAAAACGCTTCATGTGAAACAAAGTTCCACCCTGCTTTGGAGAAGCACATCTTAAAAGACACAGCTGCCTAGCCAGTTCTGTATTCAGAGGTTTGCTGGCAATATCCAGAGTATTAAAATAGATTCAGACACAAGAGCAAAATAAATACATGCTTAACTGCAATTAAAAGCAAGCAGTCTAAACAGAAATACTGTAAAGGTAACACAGCATTCTGCATTTCTCAAGTGGCCCTTCCCTTCAAACCTGGAAGTCTGTATGATGGACTTCAAAGAATTTTATCACATGAATCATTTGAAAGAGAAGGATATACAAGAGTTTGAAACATAACTATGTTATTATAGAGTTCAAATATTCATGTCTACTACTATGCCTAATCTCTTATGCAACAGCACCTGCAAGTTTGTGGCTGATACAATTAAGAACCACAGAAAGGTCAAAACAGAAACACGTTAGATACTATTATCTCAACGTGCAGACATTTGACTTAACCAGCAGTCACTAAGCTACCCACCAAAGTGGTATCTTGCATTGCACCTTGTATTCTTGCAGATAATGCCAGTTAGTTTAGTGCTGTCTACTACTTTTGTGACTATTATATCATTCAAAACTCTGTTCTTATTTTTAATTATTGATAAACCACCAGGCAGTACATGTGTGTAAAATTTTTAAAAACCAAAAGGCTAAGAAATACCAGGCTGAAGGAAGGTTGTTAGACTGATCCTTGGAAGAATGCTTGTAAACTACACTTCATGTAAGAAATGTATTAATGATGGAGAAAAAGAAAAAGCTGGTATTTGTGTTAACAATCTGAAACCCAGAGATACTGTTCCATGTTGATACACGAAGCACAACAGAGTAACATAGTGAAAAGACTGGAGTAAGAGAGACATGGTGATATTTATAACAAGGACAAGAATGTGCAAATAAAGGTCAGCAAAAAGGTGTTATGAATTCCTATAAGCTGTGGAAAAAGCATCTGTTGACAGTGAGAAAGGAGCAATAGCATATGCATTATTGCTGAGATCATAAATCAAAACCAGAGTGCCACAAGGGAAAAAAGGCAAGGAGATCCTACAGTTTTTCCCTCTTAAATAAGACCTTTTCAGCTGTGAAAAAGAGAAATAATGCCACTGCATAAGGCACTAGCAAATCTCCCACTGAAAAAAAGAAGGGTGCCATTGTGATTAAAGTAAATTTGAACTGGAACAAGCACACAAAATAATTATTAGGCTAAAACAGGAACATAGAGTTTCATGCAAGAAGAGCTTGACTGTAGCATCTTAGTAATACAGAAAAACTGTAAAATTAATTGACTGTATCCTACAAACACATGAAAGGTAAGCACAAGAGGGGGACTTTATTTTACCCCCAAAAGTCATAATTCGCATAAGAATAAAAGGATAAAAAACTGGCCATGAACAGGCTAGCACAGAAATCATAACACCTCTCAATCACTGGAGGAGTACTCTACAGTTGGTTTTCAGTAAGAGTAAATAACTCCATTATAATAGTCCAGTAGACTAATTGGAGTATACCTTGATAAACACTGCTGCTTTCAGACTGAGAACCACTGAAGTGAGGGGAAAAAGAAAATTAAAAATCGTTCTTCTATATATAAGCATAACTGCCATGCTAAAGCAAGTTCAAGTTGTCAAGTTTTTCTTCTCAAACTCACCGTTTGATCACAAACATGTAAAATATGACAAATATGCTCCTTAAATTACATACCAAAGTACCACAGCTAAAAAGTTCCCACCTACCTGATGCTTTCTAAAGCAACCTCCCCAATTATTTCCTCACCAGAACAAAAAGATTTCTCAACAAGAAGCAGAGTGATGATCAGAAACACTAGAGCTACGCTGAATACATATTGCAGACATATCCACTCTGAGCTCAAATTGAATCCATATTGCTTCTTGTGGGCAATACCGTCTGCTCCAGCCATCTGTTTTGAATGAACCAGGGAATAAAAGATCTTCGTAACACCCAAAACTTCAGTTAAACAAATAATTCTCTTTCCCCTTGCTGTGTTTAAATGAGATGCACTCCTAATCCCTCCAAATCCCTGGTTGAGCAGCTGACAGACACAAAAGGGAGCAGCCTAGGGGCTTGCCTTCAGCAGGAGCATCTTTCTGTCCTCACCCAGCAACACTACGTTCAGGCAGGCGAATAGCATGCACACAACTTCAACAAACCAAACCGTGATTGTTTCTGGCTTGCTCTTCCTACTGTGCTAACTGTATGAGTTTAACAGAACAATTCAGCCACAGAACCTCTGCTGATGGGGTCCTACTCCCAAATTGTCCCCCTTCTGTCAGTGGGTGAAGCAGTCACACCTGCATAATATTCTGTGGTACATTCCTCCACACAGACCTAAAAAACAGTACAAGTGGGGAGGCAAGGCATAGCTTTGGGAGCCCTTCTCCGTCACTTCCCCGGAAAGCTGCCACTAATGCCCCCCATCTGTCACATTCTACATTTTTCAATCAATGACATTGATCTGTGGCTGGCTTGGTTCATCTGCTGACCAAAAAAATGCTGTCAGCATCAAGGTACTGGAGCAGCTGCTTAATATAATTAAATGCTTGTGGGCAAGGGAAAAGAAGCATTCATAGGGACACTGCAGAGGGCAGAGACGGGATTTCTAAACTGTCCTAAATCATCACTGATTTAACTGGCAACAACAGAACATACTTGAAATGAGGACATGACCTGAAGGCATAGCTGTTATAATGAAAGAGGAAAACATGTAGATTATAATGCAAACAGATAAAGAAAAGAGCATCAATGAAACCAAAGGAAAAATGTTGGCTAATCAAACTGTTAGCTTCCAAGAAAAAAATGATTGCTACTTTTCCCTCTGAAGATCTGGAGAATATATATTTCTGTTTCCCCAACAAATAATTACAGGACTTTAAACTGAAATGTGCTGTATCTTGCACCTTTAACAGAAGGCTAGTACTTACCTGAGTTTATGGATACAGTCTGACTGATTTTCTCTCACATATACACACACAATATTTCACTGAAATTATGCAAATAATTTTATCCATCATGCTTTGAATTGTATAAAGGTAAAATTCAAGCATGATATAGGAGGTAATGGGAATAAAAGGGGAAAAAAAAATTAATGGGGGGAAGGGAAGCATCAGCAACATATTTTCTGATAATTAAGCCTTATATACTTAATACACATCTTTTACTACTACCCTATTCATACTACCCTAACTTGGGCTCATGTTGAGGCACACAAGTTGGAAGGAACACCTCTCAAAACTGACTGTGGAGGGGAAAGGGGCACACTCAGATCAGCAGTTCTGATCAGATATCCCCTTCCCCACTGATTATCAAAGAAACATAAGCACATGTGTTTCTAACTTCAGCATCTCAGATGGATGCCTGTATTGGATGTGCTGAACTCAGGCCAAAGTCTGTAACAAGACTCTTGTTACGGGGTAGTAAAAATAGATCTATAAATACAAGTAAGTGTACATCTTCTTTACACACAGTAACTGCCTTTCACATTATGAGTTTCTTCTCATCACCAGTGCTACGGACATAAGGTAAGTTCAACAACTAAGAGGACAAAACAAGAGCAACTTCTGTCATTTAGGTAGCAGCAAAGTACAGAAGGATATACAAGAACAACTAAAGGAAGCTCTCTATCAAAAGCAATGAATAAAAAATTCTGAATCTACTCCCTTGTTGCAAATGAAAACATATAAGATTTAACAGCAAAATTTGCCACACATCACTTTGCAGTGAAACCTGCCTTTTACTGGGGGCCTTATCCCTCACACAGTGATGTAAATGGAAAGACATGCAGTGATGGCAGACAGGGGCAGGTCATGTGGTAGACAGCAGCCCTCAAGTCTCCTACCTGTTTGCACAGCTTATAGTTCTCAAAGCTAAACAAAAGCAACACAGTTGATTATTCTCTAGACTATTTTTATAACTTGAAAGTAAACTTCAAGGCTGCAAACCCTCAAATATTCGCAGACTGATTCAACAAGTCATAGCACTCCCAGACTGTCTCTCAATCTGCAAATGAAGTCCAACCACTCTGCAAGGAAAACCTAGGTTCCTATAGGGTGTATTTAGTGTAAAAGATCATTTCTTACCATCATTCAAAAGCAGTAGAAGACTTCATTAGCTCTTTTTGCTTCTTTCGCAAAGTCTTTACCTTCTGTTCAATAAGGAACCAAAAATTATATGCTTTTTGTTTGTTTAATCTTAAACAAGGACAGAAAGAAGCAAAAATGGAAGTATCAACATTGATGTCCTTGACCAGGACTTAGTTGCCACTGTAATACTGAATTCAGCCTCTCACCATTTCGGATAAAGATCTATTCAAAAGCAAAACTGGGCTAATAGGGAATAGAAAAATTAGTCTCCCATTCTGAGTATGGCTTTACATTAAGGGTGTAGCTGTAGTCAGTCCTGTGCGATACTAAGGGGAATTCATGATGAAACCATTCTTCCTCTGTAATTAAATCCCAAGAAAGAGTATTCCCAAATGGATTTCATAGGGGTGTAAGACATAGCTGTGCCTGATGTATGATGTATTTTAAAGCCAGAAGCAGACATGTGGCAAGATTCAGCTTATACATGGGGCAATATTCAGTATATAAACACCTCCGGCAAACCCAGGGATCAGGCAAGGGAACCTAGAGAGATAATGAACTGACCAGATGTAGACATTGTCTATAGCTTAGGGTGTGCTGAATTTCCCTCTGGACTCTGTTGACCAGCCTGGCTAGATGACCACTGAGTGTAACAGAGCTTTGATAACTTCACATACACAGACAGAGATTTGTTTGCTTTGTTGCATAATCACAAGTGTGCAAAGTGCCCAAGATATCCCAGCTCAGAAGTGGGGGACACAGCAGAAACTAACACACCTTACCAAATACCTCTGAAGAAAGCTCATGCTGCCTCCACTCAAGGAGGCAAACCACTGAGAATTCCTACTTCAGGCTCAGTACTCAAACTGTGCCCATCTCCCATCTTTGCTCTGCAGTCACTGCTTCATCTGTGTCTCATATCATATTACTGCAACCAGAAGTGCCAAACCACAGACACCCTCCTGAATCCTGTTCCCCACCATCGTACTGCTATAGGAAGACATCTACCTAACAGGTATAAGTAGGGAGAAGTAAGACTGCCAATTAACATACGCATAAACCACTGCATCAAGACTAAGATCTGACTATAAAACTGACATGTTCTGCCTGTGCGCTCTGTCTTTCTTTGTCCTTTGTTCTGTGTCTCCTGAACCCCTTCAGTCCATGCAAGTCTATTTTAAAATCTAAAACCTCTTAAAAAAAAAAAAGGAGAAGAAAGCAAAGATAATATAAAAGCCAAACTCCAATATACAAATACAGCTATATATGTTTTTAATATACCAGGCAATATTCTTCCAATAAGAGCATCTAGCAACCAAAAGGACTCCTCTTCATTCTTTGTAATAAGAATCAGGTATCCAGCTATGAAGTTCATGCCCTGAAATAGAAAGAATGGTTTTAAGATGCATAAACTAGAAACTCTTTAAGATAAGTGTATTTCTTTTGATTAAGGACTATATTACTACAGTTCTACAAAGTGGGCATATTAAGTAAAATCTAGTAATAAATGCCACCAGTGGAGTAAGCTGTTAAACCTGCATAACAGCTAACAAGAATTATTAACAAAGATCAAGGAGAGAAAAATGAAAATAAAAAGCTTAGTAGTCTCTAATTTACCTTTTTTTTTTAAAAAAAAAAATCACAAAGCCCTCTCCCAGTGTAACTGGAGACTGCTTTGATCAGAACCAAAACACAGCTGTATCAGATGTTCACTACAAACACAACACATGTACAGGTAAGACAGTGCGGCTGCAGAAGGAGAATGCCTGACACAAACAGCCTTTAGCAAGAAGGTGCAGCTCCAGCAGCTTTTATAAACTGCTTAACTCAAATGACTGTATACGAATCATTTCCTTCCATAATACCTTCAGTACTCCACGTGCTAGTCAAGAACTTGCCACTAGAGCTTCTGGCTTTCAGTGTGCAAACAAAAGGTAAACACTGGGCTTGGGGTAGGAATATTGGAAGAGCTACCAGAAAATTTGTGAAAGGTAGTCAAGTCATAACTAGTCAAATCCCAGCTGTGCAATCTTTGTAACTATTACTGACTCTCTCTGTCCGGAGAAGTGCCATACAGAACACACAGTTTCATGAACTGGTATTCCCTGTAAACACCCTGTCTCTCTCTCAGGCACCCTTTTTCATGTATCTACCATAACACTGCTAAGTTATGGCAATATTACTGATTTACATGCTTAAGAAAGTGAACAACTGTGCATTTTTTAAGATGTATTTTTCATTGTAAACAAGCTAACAACCCCAATAACATAGACAGTACATCAGAACAATTTACAAAAGCTACCTCTGATGTGCAAGGCCCCTCAAAGTCTTCCAAAGTTAACAGAAAATTACCTTTAAATATTTACAGGCTATGGTGTTGGTTACATTGCCTTCTTTGGTTTCATCCTTTTTTTTTTTTACCTTCTCCCTGTGCTCTCTCCCTCCAAGCTGGGCTTCTCCAGCACATCTGTCACCACAGGCAGCACCACTGTCTCTAGGTATCCTGCAGTGCTGCCAGTTATGGCTTTGAGCCAGATGACAGCTGCAAAAACCAACACCCCTCACAGCCCCTAGAAGCTACAACATCCTCTCTGAACCAATTTCTGATATTCAACAGATTGACCCACCTGTCCCACCTCAGAAAGCCTTGCAATACTCCCAGAACATGGAAATATTAGGACACTGAATCCTCTCCAATGTCTCATTTTCAAGCTTTGAGTCACTACAGCAGTTGTTAAACAAATGGCTTGGATAGACATTGGATGGCCTTACACGGTGCTTGGCCTTCTAGTTAGGAAGGCAACTATTTGTTTCCATGCTGACAGTTAGTATTGTAATCACATCTATGGTGACAAGAGACTGTTTGGTATTTAACACGGCATGCACAAAAAATTACTCTGGAGCATATGTTCACAGGACACTGAATTTTGCTGGTTGTACCAGGGTAGGTAACACTGTACCCCTGTCACAACATGACAATGCAAAGCCTAACACACTCCCAGATGGGAGACTTAAATGCCAGTAAGTACCACAAATGCACCAGCATGATGGAAACATTCCCAGAAAAGCCTTCAGTCAGTAAAGGCTCTGCAAAATACTGACTTTTCTAGTGTTTACAAGATCTCTCTTATGCAGTGGATATCACTATATCTATCTTGATGAAGTCTGCTGCTTCACTAGCAGAAAAGGTGATTTCCTGGAACTGCTTGATTTATAACATGCATTGGAAAGCAGATGTTGACCTTTGGTTTATGTTCTGGTTATTTAGACAGAAATGATAAAATTCATCCTGTGAGGAGACTAGAGATGAAAAAAAAAAATCACATAAGGCTTCTTAATTAGTCTTCTTTCACCTCCAGTGTTCATAATGCCAAGTTAAAATGCAAAAGGTTAGCCCATTAAACAGTTAGTGTACCAAAACTTTTTTTGTAACAATTGGATGTATATTTTGGGTAGAAGCTAGCATGGTTTAGAAGTTGTAGATATTTGTGGCTATAACTATCTTTATATAGGAGCCTGAACTTTCAAAAGTATTCATAATTCTACCCCTTCTGTTATTCTCAAAATATTTTTAAAATATTTTAATACATAGTACTGAAATAAAAGTAATTTATCTTTTACTTCATTCTTCAAATAATTTCTGTAGTAAAACTGGTTTGGATCCACTTTTTTTTTGGGGGGGGACTTCAGCCTAGGAGTAAGTCCCTCTAAGTCTTCTCTCCAAAATTCAATCAATACAATTCATATTCTTTTAACTTACAGTTGTATTTACCATACTAACTGAGGTATAGGTTAGCCCACATATCCTTGGTGAGGAAGGGGAGAAGAGAGGAGAGGTCTCAAAGGAACTGAAAACAGATTTTGCTCATAACAGTTCCTACTTCTTTATGATCCTTAAAGATGGCCACTTTTTTCTTGACTGACATGAATAAAATTTTATCTTTTGTGCTCCACAGGAAACTTTACAGTACTCGGCAGCGACCACAGAAGCTTTTTTGAGCCGCCACCTAACCTTCAGTATCAGGTTAAATTTCAAACAGATTTTCTACCTACTTGTCTGTCTATACTGATAGAGGGCACTAAATAAATGCTACCACCCCCCAACAATGTTATGTCGCATGAATGCTGGTCTTCTTGTTTTCAGTCACATTTTTCAAAATATGAAGGGAACTAAGATCTCATGATGCCTCATACAAACCAAGGACTGTTTCGGGAAGGATAGAAGGAGGCGAGAAGAAGGAAAGGCAAGCTCACTTTCTCTCCAAAGCAATTAATCTTGATACAACCATGTATGATAAAACATTTATTTTGCAGCTAACAAATGGAACCAAACTTGACCAAGCTAGCTACAGAAGAGGCCACAGAGAAACTCACATGGTGGAATGAATCACTTCAGGCAAGTTCAAATGTCCAAGGTCATTTTAAAAACAGAAATAGTTTATGCATCTGCTTTGAAAAAAATGCACATTCAAACAGACAAGAACAATTACCACTGTTGAAATGCAGCATTGTTTGAAAAACAGTCATTACATACCTGACAATATCCTACTGCTTTATTATGATGCCCATATGCTACCAATACATTGTAGAGTGTATGCTGCAAACAGGGATCAGCAGTTTTGCGGAATTTTACATTATCTGGAAATGTTCTGTTCATGTCTAGACAAAAAAAGGAAAAAAGACCAAATTCACTTTCCAAACAAACTTTCACAGCTTTTCTGAAGTACAACTGAAACTTCACTACAGTTCACTAAACTGTAGTTTTGGTGGATGAATTTTAAGAAATAGCTTTACCTCCATTTTGGCTAAAAGGCCATCTGCATTCAAGGATAATCAACTCCTAGAAAGAGTATTAGTGTACAGAAATCAATTTCAAGCAGGACTAAAGAAATTCTCCTGCAGACTGGACTCTCTCAACATCTGACTGCAAAGGCTTAAATGAAAGCAAACCAGACATTTAGACTGATAGAAACAACACATACCAAATTCATCTAGCCAAGTGGCACAAAATGAGCTGCACCTCTAGAAAAGTATATTCTCAGAACAAATTAGATGAACTTTCAATTGACTTATGCAGTGAATTTCTATCAGTCCCAAACAGCTAAAGAAGTAGTCCTGTTCCTGCAGCTGGTAACTTCTACTTAAAAAAAAATCACCTTTTAAAAGTTTTAAGTTTCTCCATGTGACCATGAGAAAAGTTGCTTCTTCACTGGTGCAAGATCACTGATAAGGATAGAAGATTTTTGACATCCAAGCAGCAGAGCATATCCCACATGCTTCAAGCTCAATCCTAAACTAAGTAAGGACTATGCAATTACTGACATTTCAAAACATTCATTTCTTCCAGACAGAACATGAACAGTAGGACTTATCTCTCCTTACAAAGATCTAAATATTAGATACGCAAGTTTGAGCTAGTCACCCAAAACTCTTTAGTTGTTGGAAAGAAATATGCAGAGTTAATTTTTGGCCTGCTTCACTCTATAAAGGGGGAACCCAAGGTCACTAGTCCAGACTTGTGCACCTGATTTTTAGAAGTTTAAGTTGGGGAGAAAAATCCTATTCAGAAGTAACTTTGAAGATTTTCAAAACCCAAGAGTTATTTATAAAATACAAATAGTTGTTTTGGTAATATTTAACAACAACAAATGGGGTTAAAGTTAAAAAAAAAAATCAGTAACAGCACTACTGTACAGATACCTATGTCCTATGACTTATCACTTCTTATCAGCCTTTTCCTGTATAAAGGAAGAAGTCTGTTACAGCTCTGACACAAAGTTGAGCTGTAAGCAATCAAAGGAAGAGAGCTCCTCAAAATCATTATTGTAATGGAAGTCACAAGCATAAAAATTTTGTCATGCTAATCACTATTTCTTCCTTTTAAAGTGAACAAATCATTTACAGAAATGGTAGAGCAGGGTAATATTTCACTCCACCTCTCATGTGACTGAGAAGAAAAACACAAGGAAAAGGACAATTTTTAAAAGCACTTGAGCAACAGCCAGTTATAGGATAGATTTGTTTTGTTTCTTCCTGGTAGGAAGAGCAGCACAGCATTTTCATAATCAAAATTTGTTGTTTATTAAAGTATGTGCTGGATGTTACAGAAAAGATTAATGCTGACATTTCAGTTATGGTTCTTCCCCTCAGCTATGCAGAACAAGGGTGAGGGGGGAGTATGAAGAGTCCATCACATGCAGAGCAGAGACTACTCAAACTGAACTCATCTTTAATTTCACAACCTGAGGAAGGCCTGCATTTGAGAGAATCAGCTCCAATTTGCTTTCTGATTGCAGAGTATGTTTTTCCCCACAAGGGCTAGGGGAAGTCTTCTCTAATTTTATGAGGGATTTAAAATTTTCTTTCTATTTAGTAACAGTATTTTAGTTTGGGAGGAGGAGATGGGGACGAAAACAAGATACTAGAAGTCTTTACCCTTAATAAAAGTCATAGAGTACAGTCTCTCAGGATTCCTTATGCCAGATTTTATCTTGAGCACACCAAGAGCAGAGGGTCCTGCTTCCTCTCTGTCTTCCCCTTTCTGCTCCATCTGCATGCTCTTCCTCCATCTCTGAGGCTCCTCAGACTGCAAGGCGAGGGAAGTCAACCTGCTCCTTAAGTGGACAAACTGTTATGTTTTACCATACTACAACTGCTAGAGATGACTTGAGGCAAACGGCAGGAGCTGCTCATCTGACTTGAGCACTTACCCACACTTTGCTACACCTGTCCCAGAGGAGGCATCCAAACACCTCCTTCTCCCATTCTGTGCAGCCCACCCTCTGATCTACTTCATTCTTGATAGACATTAGCGTCCAAAGGAACACAGCCTCAAACTAGTCTAGTTTGGGGAAAAAAAACATCAGAATTGTTTTCAACCAGGAAAAGAAACATTAGAACTTAATACTGCTAGATAAACCCCAAAACTATGACCATCTTGTGGCTGCATGCAGATCTGCTGGCTATAACCAAACTAGGTATAAGGCACAGGACCAGGAAGAAGGCCACAAAGAAAAGATTAGCTACTCCTTCGCAGTAAAGTCAGATTAAATCCTAATAGCATTTTTTATTAGGTGATCTTTGAGTGCTGTGAGGTGGCAGTGTTATGCTGCTATGAAACAAAACCATCATCTTTCCCTTCCTGTTGATTTACCTCTGTGCAGCAACCATAAGACCACCACTGTATTGTTTCCTCTGTTTCACAGGTCTGAAGTACTTCTACCTCTCATTTAGTAATACAAACATAAGCAGAAAGCCACATTAGCCTCAGTTTATAAAACAGGTATCTGTTTTGGTACCTGGAATCACAATTGTTGATACTATTTCTACAGCAAAGAGATTTAAATGTGCTGTCCATAAAACTAATGCTTTCATATCAGTCTTGTGCTTTTCATATTTAGGGTACTTCAAAATCAGGCACCTACAAGTCAACCTTCTTCATCTTGCTATCTCATCCTTTCTGTTCTCACCTTCATATCCAGGTGCTACCCACTCATAAACACAGTGCCCAGTAAATCACACAAGTATTTTTATAACTAACACCCTCTACTCCACTTAATGGTCACTTCTTTGCTACTGCTACATCTGTAACTGCGATCTGCTCTGTCCAGGCAGGTAATTTTCTCTTTTTTTTTGTTTTTAACCTTAAAGAGCAGAATAAAAATTCAACTCAACTGCCAGCTACAAGCATTCAAAAACTCCACTGCAAACCTCCAGAATAATGAGGTAAGGTAATCAATTAAGATTTGTAAAAATAATATACTTAAAGGGTATTTTAAATTTGTTATAACTGGATATTTAGGACTCAAGTTCAAATTTTTCCCTGTAACACCTGAAACTAGAAATTGGTTTGGAGGCTTGGGGTTTTTTTGGTTTGGATTGTTTGGGGGGTTTTTTTAAGTTAACATCAAGTTGCTATCAACTAAAACCAGAGAAACTCAGCCTGACACCCTCCACCACCAGCACCAAGTAACAGTTCAACAGCTTGCAGCAGTCAAGAAAGCAAACAGGGTTAGGATTTCCTACAAAAGAACAATAATGCCACTGTATAAATCTGAGAATCACCCATATAAATTCCAGTCTCCATCTCAAAAAGGTGATATCAAAATTGGAGGAATTGCAGAGGAGAATGGCAACAAGGAAGATCACAGGCATGAAGTGGCTACCATACATAGTATAAACCAAGGTGAATTAGAGCTCCTTAGTTTGGAAGGACATGCTTATGAGCATGACAGCACAAATCTGCAAAATCACGAGCAAAGTAAATTATATGAAAAAGGAGCAACCAGAGCTTTTTCATGATTTTTTCCTCATCCAATGTTATTAAACTACAAACACGTGGCACTTGACTCGGGGACTCCCCAAACCACTGATAACTGGAGACTACAAAAAAACATTCCTAGGAAATGAGGATGAGGAAATATCACTACATGCTTTACTCCTCCAGTTCTTCCTTTAGCTGTTCTGGTAGGCAGAAGACCAGATGAGGTAGCCATTTGGATATGACCTAACATAGCTTCTCTTACAGAGAGCCAGAAGAGCTGACACTGCTGTTCCCCTTGCTCTTGCATGGTTAAATGCCCTAAACTCACGTGAAAATTCCTAACTTTCACTAACAGTTTAACCCCATTCAGAGAAGCTTAATAGTGCTTTAATAGCAAGATATTCACTGTCTCCAGTGAAGTGGCAATGGCTATTGTTTGAATTATAGTTTTCTGAGGCCAAACTAAACTAAGATCCTGCAACCGCTATCAAATCCATGCAGTCAGATCTTTATGCCATCAGCCATGCAGGCTCAGGGGACTGCTAATTATCAGACCCTGGACTTCATAGCATCTATACCACCTCCTCAGGAAACGCAAGAGTGGAAACGTGGATATTAGCTGCATGTGCACACAAGAGGACTTGCAGACACGTACTCTGAAACTCGAACAACTTGGCCCAAGAGGGCATACTGTAAAGAAGCTACATCAACCTACACCCCAGCCTTTTTGTAGCCAGCATGTAGCCTTTGCATTAGGAGGATAGCCATATTTTATCCTGCTGACATCATCGGTCCTACTAAACTTTACTATAATAGGGCATGCAGGAATGCATGCCCTTCTAAATACATACATAAACTAAACCATGAAAATTTCCATCAAAATTTACAGGCCTGCATTCTTTAAGCTACATTTCTCTTTTTTTTTTTTTAAATAAAAGCATGTTCAAACAGCAAATATTATATAAAATAAAATCAGCAATAAAGCCCATCAGTTCAGAATCAACAAATGAAAGGGCAAAAACAGTGAAAAGACATTTAAATTTATTTAGCTGAAAGACTTTTATTACTAATCAGATTTTTCTTTAAAGATTAGACCATTTCTCTATATAGTTCATCTGCATGTTTTAACACGATTATATTCCATTAAAGACATCCCCATATTGCAAATAAGTTCCAAACATACATGAAATTGTTTGGAGCTTCTGGGCATGTGAAAGAAACAGGACACATTGGTTCTTACACATTTTAAATTAACTTTGAAATAAAGTTTTGGTTGGCCTTGTCCTCCTGTCCCTCCCCTTGGATTAAAAAAAAAAAAAAAAAAAAAAAAAAAAAAAAAAAAAGAAAAAAGGAAGCATGGTGGCTGTTCTTTTGTTTTTAAACCACAGCATTGTCCTGGACTATAATTTTACAGCCAGACCACAAGACTAAATACAGCACAATTGCCTGGAAATTTTGGAAACTGCAGACATAAAAGCAAATGGCAGCAAGATTCTACATTTTAACAGTAAACTAAAGTAAGAACTACTACGGTGATGGAAAAACAATACTAGCAGAAACAAACTGAACGTCAGATAACAATTCACCCTGAAACTGTCCTCAGCTAAAGCCCACTATAAAATTCGCACAGTCAACAGTAACACTAAATTTATTGAACAAAGTTCCCTTTCACCTGAAGTACTTTGCTTCTTTCATCTCTCATATGTTCACATTGTTTCTTCCTTTATGATGGAAAATCTATCACTCTGGAGTCCAAGGTCCTCTTATTCTTTTTTCCCCTCCAATAAAACCTCCAACCCATTTTTATTTATCCCTTCCCTCACTTGCTCCTTGTTAGTTTTCTCTTCTGCAGTTTGCCAATCAATGCAGTAGCTCTTCCAAAAATTTATTTTCTCCATAATTCACAAAGAGATATTTATCTTCTTCCATTATTTTCCCTCCTCCAGAAAAATATTTTTATTTCATGGCATAACCTGTGTGAAAAGCCTCCCACTGTCACGATATGATCTTTCATGTCATTGTCTAGTACTGGAAAAGAAATTGTTCGCAATTCTCTCATGCAGCAATTGTACCCCAACTGAACACAGTTTGATCTTTCCCCAGGCCCTTACCAAGGTTGGCTTTGGAAATTCACCTTAGTAGCTCCCTCTGTATTCAGTTAGAGCTCTACTGTTTCTAGTTCTGAGCAGGATATGAGCCTGAAAATTTCTGGCTAGTCTTCATATTTGTAGGAACATGAAATTTTATGCTCCAAAATGCCTTACTAAGGCGTGTAGTCCCAAAAGCCCAGAGTTGCTGCTGTTGTGAGGAGAGGTGGAGAAACTCAGCATAAAACAAGAAGTGTTCAGATGGTTATGCAGCTTGAATAAAAATCCATAAAGCCCCAACTTTATCTACCTGGCTTTTTCAAGAGGAAAAAGATACAATTGCAGGTGCAGTTGTTAAGTAAACAACTTCAGTGCTGTGCTTGTCCAGAGCACAGCCCAACCTCTTCACTCATTAATTGGGCAATTCAACCAATATCAGCTTCTCTACAAAAGGTCTGCTGTAGCAGGTTGAAAAGTTTCAGGTCAAATAACCGTTACATCAAACTTGTACTTGGTTATCCTCCCCTACTGCCTCTTTTAAACACCCAGTGGGCCAGTCTACAGTCTAGTTTCCCTAATATCCTGCCATCAATATTGGCCACTGATCAATGTTGACAGACAGCGTACATGAAACTGGATTAGCAGAGGGGTATTTCTCCTCCTACGCTTCCCTTCTTTCAGGGATTTACGTTTAGTGTTCAGGATTTCATGTGTCTAGTAGATAACCCCACCCATCAGTTTATTAAATTCCTTTTTAAATCAGTTCATACCTATGGCCTCAGCAGCACCCTCCAGTAACAAGTGCCACAATTCAGTGATACGCTCTTCTAGACCTGCAGCGTGACAAATTTCATTCAGTGTCCTTGGTTCTTACATTACAAGATACAAATGACAATTGCTCCCTGTTTACCCTCTCTACACCATTTATAATTCATACAGCTGGATCAGCAGCTTTTTCTCAGCAGTCTTCTTGAAGCTGAAATCCTAGCATTCTTCACCTGCCTCATACAGACACTGCACATCTTCAGCCATCCCTGCTGCTCTTCTAGTGTCTTATTGGGACAGAAGGAAGGAGAAATAGACCCAAAGGCAGGTCTCACAGTACAATGTTACAACGCTTCAACCACTTAGGAGATGACGTAATAACATTTTCTAGTTTGTTCTTTCCCAAATAATTTCTAATCTTCCTTAATGCTTTTGACAACATGATGAACCTGGAAAGATTCGTGCTGTTAAAGAGTTTAGGGCTAAACTAATTTACATGTTAATTCGGCACTTAAGCCACTACTACAGAAACCTATGTTTTCTATGACATAACTTGATCTCTAACATTTAAGGACATAGGACAGATAAACAGTGCTATCAAGACAATAACCTGTTTTGATTGCTTCAACAAGCTTGTCATTCTTCTCTCCTTCAAGCAGTGTGTGGTAATACCCAGGGTTTTGTTCCATGTTGGCTTGGGCCCCACTCACAATCATCCAGATCAATGCACGGTGTTCATTGGGGATGCCTTTCCTGATATATCTCTTCACTGCAAAACAAGAAGTTTGGGGTTGGTTTTTTTTTTTTAAATAAATAAAAGAATTCAGCTGTATTTCTCTTTCAGAAATGAGCAACAGAAAGTTGAGAAGTCATTGGAAAACTCTTGGGTAGAGATTATGATGCTTTCTCTCCTACGCTGCCATTTTGGATAAGTGTTTCCTTCTCAGCTACACAGTATACTTCAGATTCACTCCCAAATTCTTGCCACTCAGACTCTCCATACTGATCCAGACCCAGGGTTTCCTCCCTATTCTGTTCCCCCATTAGGTTTTTGAATCCTTTCTTCTTCTTCCCACCTCTCTGGATATGAACATCAAAGTTTCTGCTTAATCTTTGTCCTTTTTCACCCAGACAAGCACTGACTTTTCCTTTCACTACATTACCAATGGCCTCTGACATGACAGCCCCCTCCATTTCCTTGGTTATGCTCTAGCATAAATGCCTACATTAACATAATCCTATGATTTCAGTTTAGCACCTAACTACTGAAGTCACAGGCGAAACTGGTAAATATGAAATATGTGGATACAGTCTAAATGAGACTCTGGAAGAACTGGAGATATGAGCGAGCAGCAGATTATTTTTCCTAGAATAACTGGGGAAGTCTTTCCAAATCTAAAGTAGCTCTTATCTCCTGCATCACATTCATCACCAGGGTATGCTTTGGGGGTTTAAGCAGATGATTCAGTGTAAATAACTAGGATGCAAGATTGCAGGAAGAAGCATCAGGCTAATGACACCCAAAGCAGCTTCCTCCTGGGAATGGCATGCAAATAAGGAGCCAATGCTGCTCATTGGTATATAATTCTAAATCAGCATTAACCCTTCTGACCCCAAAGGACAGCTGAATGTTTGAGATCCTTCTGGTCTTTCCAGGGAGAACAAACTGACAAAGGAATTTGACATTTCTTAGTAAATGAATGAGACTGTATCAATTAGAGTATTGACTTCTACTCCCTAAATTCTATGGGACTCAAATGAGAGTGTGGATTTTGCTTTCACTCCCCTTCCCCCCCCATCACTACCTAATCTGGTTTTATCCAATCACAAAGATCTGTAACTCAAGCTAAACACTTCCTGCATTAAAGGCCTTAAAACAGCAGAGTGAAACAACATTTTACAACACCTCAGCCAGCCACCTTCTATAATACATTCCACCTGCCTATGCTTTAGGACCCCAAGCTGCTTTCTGAGTGTCAAGAGAGATCTGTGCATCTCTAATGGGCATTTCACCCACCTAAAATCTGGTACTTCCTCTCAGAGAAACACTCCTACCCTTCACATTTGCAGTAAACACCATGATGCAGTTTTTCTTTAGCTTTTTGATGAGGATTTATACTATAGGTTACAGTCTCCACTGTTCTAGCTGTAAAATAACTTTTAACTACAACCTGCTTTTAGACAGACTGGAAATAATTTACTTGTTTCCATGGTTGTTAAATAATCCCCTCTTCATGTTTTTTTTACAAGATTCTAAACTCTAATGCTCAGGAAATCCTATAGACAGACACAGCAAATGCAGGAATGAGTATGAGAAAACAGCTGCATTTAGGTCAACAAGAAGAGACATTCGGATGAGCCTGCAAATGTCTCTAGAAGCAAATTTACTGGCTAAGTTACTTGATTATCATATTCTAACATATAGTTCCAATGGTATTTTTTTCTGGAACAACTATCAGTTCTGAAAGCAGAGCCAACATCCACATTCAACAATACACATTAAATTCAAGAGAAGCAGGGACAAGCCTTTGACACTGGCACAAGGGGGAAGCAGCCCTGCAGCACAGCATACATTCATTATTTCTCAGATCATCATTCTCATGGTAATAGACAGCCAGAGGCTTGTATCGCCCTAAGTGACTACCTACCCCAGCTCCCTCATCCCCTGAGGAATGGAAAAAGCCCTTTACACAGTGCTTTTCTTCCTCATACCATTATCATACTTGCCAGGATCTGCAAACTGACATGCAGAAGCAGCAAAGTAGTTTTGAAAATAATGACAGGTGCAATTTAATGTTTTATATATAAATATATGTGTCATATTCCATAAAGATGTTTTATACAAATATTTATTTATATTGTTTTCTATAGACCTTCTTCCACAATAAGCTCAGGAACTAAAGAGCCCACAACAGTCCACACCACAGAATATCCATCCTCCTGCTGTGACATTTAAGAAGCTTTCACAGATGAAGCCAGATTGTGCATGTGTCTCCAATCACACATCTGACTCCAACTGTAAACCAAGGGCTTGATCTCAAAAGTAGCACTGTTGAATACCACCCAGCCCTGAGTATCCACATGCAGAATCACTCTTAGAGCAACCACAGTGTGCACAACGCAGTCTGAGCTTTAAAACACGCATAGTAAAGAAATATCTTTAAGTGAAATTTTTGCAACTGTTCATTAACAAAATACGAAATATCAATTTTTAAGCAAATCAAAGCAGTCTTAATTCCATTATTTCTGACGCTCAGTGTCAGTTCCTGCAGTTTGAGTCACACTTCATCAGCATGTTTATCTTGTAACAAGAAAAAAAAACCAAACAGCTACACGATAGGGTAGTAGTCTAGAAGAGCTGATAAATACCCAAAGAGTAAAATATGCAGAAAATAACATTTTCCAAGACTGTGCACTACTTATAGTGATAAGATCTAAAAAGTAGTAAATTAAACCTGCCTGCCCTTGTTTAATAGTAGAATATGAGAATTTTGGAGGCTTCTGCTTCTAGGTAAAGTTGTATTTACCTTTTCCTATTAACATTGTTTTACTCTACACCATAGACTATGTAGGAAAAACCCATTTAAAAACAAAAAATATATTGTCTGAAATACTAGAAGAATGTGATTTTTGAGAAGCATCTGCACTTTTCAGCTATTTTTTCAGTTACTAACAATTACTGTTGAATGCTGAGGAAACTAACTTGGACTCTAGAGGAAAAATTATACAAAAGAGCTGAAAACAGCATACAACAAGAACTTTAAAGTTTTATTTTATGAATACATTACAGAAGAAACAATGCAGATCTGTGCTGTAAATGTTCTGGTTAAAACACAAGAACTGACTTTCTAAGATGCTCCTTCTTTCCTCCAACCCCTGGGCTGGAACAGAAGAGCTCCTGTTATAACTACTATTCAGTACCATTACTTTACCTTTCACTGTATTTTTTTCAGCTTCAAAGACTAGAAAGCACTTTCTGCTACTGGTCAGTTTCGACTAATCCACTTAGAGCCACATTCTTTTAAGTAGCACGATTTTGGTCAGAATTAAGCTACTTTGGGCAATTATATCAGAGAGTTTGCTGCCCACCTATAAACAAGCCAGAGCAGAAATCTCTCTTTTGGTCCCACAAAGAGAGCAGCTGAAGGAAGAAATGCAAAAATTAAGAGGTTCTCAGTAGCAGTGGAGAGAGAGGAGGCAAGTGACTGAAAATTCACATGTGCAGAGGAGACAGTGAAGGTAACAAGGGTAGAGAGGGGAAACAAAATACCAGAAAAAAATGAAAAGGAAGAGACTAGAGCAGGAGCAAGAGGAACTGTCAGCCAAAATCCCCATGACTCGCCATGCCGGGAGGCTGTAATCCAAACCAACAGGATACACTGCTTAATTACTGTTGTTAAGATGTAATCTAATTATTTTTCTTTACAGTAGAACAGAATTAGAACATACACACCACCCTGGATGCAAGGCAAACACAGTACCATGTGAACACGCCACATTTCCAAACTGGAAAATGAACACAAGTCATCACTTCTTCCTGTTCACCCGGACAGGAATTACAATCTCCCCTATGTGTAAAGACAAATAGGTGTGGAGCTACCGAGATACCACACTTACAATGCCTTCCTCACATCTATTCACAGCAGGACACATTTTGAGAAGGCCCCAGAGCAGAACTCAGAATAAGGATATGGGTTCGCAGATACAGCTATTGCGTTTGAGGGGGGGAAGCAACAAATCAAATAATCTTCAGTTCTAGTTCATGGTTGACTTGCAGCAGAGGGGGAAGTTAATCAGAACCAGCAGCAGCTCCTGAGCAAAGCTTCAGAGCAATGAAGTCAGGTCATGGAGGAGGGAAATTCAGTGCATCACCAGCCAGACCTTCTGCTCTCTGACTGCCTGCAAGGAAATCACTGCAGGCTCGTCTTGCAGGATAAAGCACACACCTAAACAACTGCTTACATAATTCATATGCCACAAACTTCAATCTTAATACTGATGTCAGAAGGGAAGTATTTAAAGATCAGTAATTGTACAGGTTAACCTGTTGCTCTCTTCTTCTGAGGCATCAGTTGAGGATAATGTGAAAAGCTTATTGTAACAACTTTGAATTTACACTCAGATTACATTTCCTCAACATTATTTATTCCAGTCACTCTCCTTAGAGTTACATATTACACATATATGTGAGAATACATAGTCTACAAATTCAAGTATCTTTAGCAAAAGTTAGTAATACCAAAGATGATGCACCAGCCTGGGAGGGCTTGCTACAGTCAAGAGCCATTGCCTGTGTCCACACAGTGGATTTACAGTATCCCATTTTTCACAAACAACAGCCTGTTAGAGACTATTAAAACCACGTTAATTACATGGCTAGTGGGGCAGCATGATCACTGGTACTGAAGCCTGACAGACAAGTTGAGAGATTGGGTCAAAGTTTTGGCTCCAAGATAAGACCAAACGTATCCACACTGTTTGTATCACAGTGGCATTCTGTGTTTACAATGCTGGAACAGGGAACACAAGCAAAGAGAAAAATAACTAACTCTCAGAAATTGCTAAAAGCTGCCATTGTCACAGTCCATGCATTTTAAGACAAGATGGAGATGAATCAAAACCTGAGATTATTTCTTCACAACAACTAGAAAACTAAATTCTACAGAATCTCAAAATCCTCACTAATTCAAAATACTGCACAGTTATCACTATATTCAAACTCAACATCCTAAACAAAAGCATCTTTACATTTGGAAGAAAAAAGAAGAGAGTAGAATTAGCTAATTTCTGCTTAGCTGTATATGATCTAGCAGCTATAGCTCAAACCTACATTTTCTGGGATCCTTGGCCTTAAAATGGACATCTGTACACTAAATACACTGTTTTATTTTAAATATCTCATTAGTCATGCCATTCTTGGTGCCAATAAAAAAAAAAAAAAACAAACCAAAAACAAACCCACCAGCATTAGCAGTTGAAGTCTGCACCTGAAGCACAGCTCCAAATACTCAGTAGCTATGTTAGTCAGTACCTGATTAACTTTTAGTTTAACATTCTATAGAGAACACTGCCCAACTCTGAAAGACTCCCAAAGAGAAAGCAAGCTGAATAGCATCATTAAGAGCAAAGATGAAAATTTAGACGCTTATATAAAAAAAAAAAAGCCAGAGTAAGAGTGGCAAGAAAAAACCCCACCCCTTAGTTTCACAGGATTCTCTGACACCTTCTGACTCCATTTATTTCTCCCTGTCTCTCCTGTAAGATAAAAAATTACTAGGGGTTTTCTTGCTTTTTGAAGTGGCCATTAATAGTTCCATCAGCAATTTATCCCATGTTGCATTAGCTCCTGCATTAATTTTACTTTCTTTACATCATAAGGCATTCAGCATCAGTTCTTAGTACACACCTTTTTAGCCGCGAGGTGAACATCATTTTACAAAAGGAGGATAAGGAGAGCTAGAAAAAATCTCAGCAATCTAAACAGTGAAAGAGTCAGCAACTGAGAGCCCTTAACATCCTGATCCCTGTGGTTCAAGACAGAGTCTTCTACATAGTCTCATGTCTTTTTAAAGAGAGCTCAGAGCAGAGTACAATACAACAAACAACTGCAAAACCACATCTTGAAGTGACAGTGGCCATAATCCTTGGGTTACAGATATAATAAGATATTACAGGATTACTCTTTCGTAAGCTTTAAATCAAATCAACGATCCCCCTAACAGCAGCATATTTGCTTATGTATTATTACTGTTTATAGCACTGGTTTTTTATTTGAAAACAAAAATAGTATTTAACATTCAAACACACAAACCAATTTAATAAAATTCATATTGGTGCCAAAATAATGAACTTTTACCTATAAATAGACATACACCTTACCTTTTAAACTCTTCTGTATACTCTTATTCCCTTTTAGGAGCTTGGACCATTTTATTGCTCTTCTAGTGAGTACCACTAGATATCTGGAAAAGAATGCTTCATAGGATGCATAATCAAAGTCTTCTGGCCTTTCAAACCCATATGAATCAACCCTACAAAATAAAAAAGAATTCTTGTACAAATGTTTCTATATATCTACAGCTGAAAAAAAAAATACGCAAGTATGCTTTAAATAACTTCCAGTTGCTATTTCTAAAAGCAGCTCAAAACTCCCTCTTCCCAACAAAAACCTACTTTACTAAAACTGCTACACTTCGTTTAGCATATCAAAGCTGTCTAATTAAACGAATTTAAACATGCACTGTTCAGTCAGTTTTAGAGCTTTCACGACTTCTAGAAGTAAGGAGCTGTTAGAGCAAAGGATCTGTTGTGTGCAAAACTGACCCAAATTATGACCACACAATAGTCTGGGAGGTAATTTTCTGCACAATACCAACAAGCAGTTGAAAAGTATGAGGGTATAGCACAACAGCTCAAACACGGCCTGAACTCTACTTCCACACAGTTCTGCACAGAAAAGTAACAACAAAAGGTAGAAGTGTAACAAGTTATAAAGATTATTTTTAAAAGGGGTAATTTCTGAAATCAGCTTCATTAAAGTATACAGCTTGGGAAAAACCCGTAAATCCTTGTGTCAATCTACCTTCTTCATATGTAGTTTCAAAAATGCTTATTTTATTATCTTTAACAATTTTTCAACGTTACAGCACATTATCTCAGGCAGTATGACACTGATGAAGTTTCAGAACTGCGAGTCTGATTACGTTTTAGCTTGATATATCAAGTCACCTTGCTAAACTGGATTTATGGCAACTTCCCAGGATGCTGTCTACCTGCCAATTACCACCTGAGTACAGAACACTCATCAGCTTCGCAGAAGTCAAACAGGCAGAGGGGTCTGTCTGTCCATGCAGAAAAGTCCGCAAGACAGACATAAAGTCTCAGCTTCCAAAACCAGTGCCCGTTTCATTGAGGGAGAAGGAATTCGCCCATGGTGCGGCACTCGGACAGCATGGGGTAAACGGGATCCCGTGAGCATTGGCTCACAGGATCGTCATGGGTAGTAAAGCATGAATCAGAAGAGGAACATCTTAATATTCAGACCTCAAATTGGTATTATCTAATGGGCAGTTAGAAAAGCATTCGCGTACACCTCAAATCTGACACAAAATACACCAGTGTTAAAAAATACACCGAAATCCCCAACACAGGTTCCTCTGAAAACACAGAGCGATGAGAACGCTCACAAAAGCCTAAAGCCTGCATGCACACACAACTCCTATTTATGACTGCCACCGTCCAGGCAGCAAGCACGGATTAATTTCACGCTCAACTCCATTCCTGAGGTAGAAAGGGAAAATAAAGAGCCAGGAAGTCCGGCTTTAAGGTAGTTACCTTCCCTAACCTGCCCTGACACTGCCGCCGCACAGTCCCCGGGTCTGTGCGGGGCTTTCCCCGGGGGGGGGGGGGGGGG